CCACAGTGTTTATGCTTTTGACACGCCCACTCTTGTGACACGCCCACTTTGATTCCGCTGATAACCCCTTCTCCGCTCCTCCCTTCCACTCCCTGCTTACTGCCTGTGTTTTTACCGTTAGCTGCTTAGTACTGCTCCGTGAAAAAGTCACAAAAGTTGAAGCATCTGTGAGCTACTGGTATAAAACATGAGTTCTGTTGTGTGCCGTTGTGTCCACTAAGCAGCAGGTACGATCCAGTAGTTAGTTTTTATCCTTTTTCCTCTTGATGAGGAGGTGACAGCTGTGGATCATAGCATTACAGGGAAAACTTATCTTTAAAAGCTCATGCTTGCGTTTGTAATCGGCATTTCTAACCTGAGGATATTCAAGAGTCAGCATCAGAAATGAGAAGATGGAGGTTACAAAAGGGAAATGTACATTTATCCCCCTTTACTGCCAAGACGAGAGAGGAAAGACCACCTCCAGACGACAGCTAGCAGGAAGCTAACACAGCAGCCGTACAAAGGTAGGTGTGCACGCGCATTTGTGTTATATGAAATGTGTTTATGCAACTTTGTCATGAGTTTTATGCAAAAGTAAAAACTTKTTAGAGTGTATATTACAGCACAGACTAAAGCCGAGTGACGAGCGCCCCCCGCCCTCCCCCGAGCACCGAGAGCAGCAGAACCTCCGCCTGCTAATCATTACGTTTTCAGTTCACAATGTCGGGGAAAACGATCCAAACCAWACAAGTAGCCCATCAATTTAAAGCCCAGACTCTGCTCTTTCCAACAATATAAGTGTCACAGCTCTACGTGAAAAATTCACGGAACAAGCAGCCACAGAAAAGCGAAAAAGGCTAAATTCTGGAACCATAAACAGGAACGTCTTTCCTTTGTTTTTATGACTTTAACCCACTTTGGAGTGATTTTTTCCCCACTTGGCTGGATCTGTACGTCTCCTGCGTTTATGTCGGTACATGTAATATGCTAATTCTGTACTGTGGAGATCATTAAGAGCCGCTGTCGGGTGAAAAAATCTTTCGCTAACAGTGTTAACTGTGAACCGGAAGTGTTGGGAGTGGCATCAAGTGCTGRGCCGGATGTCCGTGGCATATAGGCTATTCTCTAACTTTTGCTGTTTGCTAATGACAGATTTTTCTTTTACACAATAAAAGTAGTTGTTAAACATCGAAGTGGTTCACTACTGCTACTAGTGGTGGAAAAGTGTATTGCAAATCACACATATCTTTTGCATACATTACCTGTTGCTCTCTCAAAACATATACGATCGGACTAGATTCTACTGAGAGTCAGTGTTAGAATTGTAACAGAAAAAGATGTTCCTACAGCAAATTTCAACACAATTGACTTCAGGAATCACAGGAAAGTTCACTTGGCTGGAAGGTCGAGGTCTTTGACAGAGTTGGAAAACGAGTGGAATTGTTAAAAAGGTTGGTGTAGCTTAGCTTGCTGCATGTATTGTCTGTGTGTGTGTTTCTATCACTTGAGGCACAACTACTGCATTGTTTAAAGAAACTTAATGATTTAGAATTTGTATAAATGTAATATTATCACTGTTTGTTGAATTGACTGCAGTAGATCGCTTTATGAGGTTAGCATAGATGCTACAAATATAACAAAGTAAAAACAACAAAGTTTACAGTACCTGTTCATCGAAAGAGAGTGCAGAGATAGGATCCGAATAGTCCAGTGTTGGTCTTTYACCTTCGATAAAATATAGTATTTGGAGCAGATGTTAAGTCCTTGGTTGCACTTTTTTTTTCTGGTCAAAATCAGCTCATASCATCGCTCAAATCAGCTGTTAGCCTGCTTGGTGACACAAAATACTTCTTCCTTGCGTGGACGATGGCTGTATCCTAAATCACTGCCACAAATATTGTAGCACAATGTTCTAAAAATAGCCCGAGTGAAGGTCCTCTACAGCCCACAGCTGAAAAGCAGATTTTTCTTTTGAGGCCCTCAAGGTGGTGAACACATCCCAGTTGTGGGTCACAGTCCAAGGGTWAAGAATCTCTGGTCTAGAACCAAACTATGTCCTCTAAGATGATAACGTCTGACTCCACAAAGTAAGGTTTAGCTCAGACTACCTCCAGAAACTGATCTGTCATCCTGAAGGTATGTATTGGCCTGTCTTGTACTGACCTCAGTTCTTCTGAACACCTGTGATCATCTCAGGTTGTTTGGTCCAGAGTGACCAACACAACCTCATTGACTGACTTATGACAAATTCTGGTTGAGAATGGGTGCTCTAGCTCACAAGCAGCGCGTGACCAGACTGGTGAGCAACATGAGCAAGGAGAGGAGCCATTCGGTTGTGGCAGTGTATGGTTCTTCCACATGCTACTGGAGTCTTTGTTTATTAAACTAATTAACTATTGAATTTGCCAATATGTCTTGTTTCTTAAGATTTCATTTATCCAATCCAACAAATGACACCAGACAAGAAGCAACAGCAGAAAAAGCTGTTTGGCAGAGATTTGGTTTGTTTTTCACGAGTGAATCCCACATATTCAACTCTKCAGCCCAATCTGCAAATGAATTTTCCTTACAAATAACTCTTTTTAAGGGGAAGTAAAGCATACTTTTATGCTGTGTAGGATTCATTACTAAAAAGTATTATTCTAATGAAGAAATAATCAAACTCTAATTGCTTTACTTTTTGCGATAACTGTATTAAAACTACAAGTTAAACTAACGTCTCTTTATGTTCTGTCGGAGGAAACTGGAGTAATAGATAAAACCCACACTTGCAATCTGCACACAGAAAAATCCCACCTGAGGTTTGACCTGCTGCCCTTGCCATTTATAAGACCTCCACTGCTCAGCTTTTAAAACTGATTTATATTTGACCAGTATTATATATTGTATATCAGTGGTTCCCAAACTTTTTATCTTCTGACCCACAAAATACCCAAGGCAAAAACTTGTGACCCCAAATATTACTGGTCTGAGTACATGAACTTCATTAATAACTCTACAAACACAGGCTTTTTGACAATCTAAACAGCTTGTACACAAATATAAATACTTATTTATACTTTTTTGTGTTTTTGTAATAATTATAGGGAAAATATTACATCAGCAATTATTTTATTACCCTTTAAAATGATTTCTGGAGATTATCCAAGGTGCTTCATGACCCATAATTGGGTCCCAAGCCCAACTTTGGGAACCAAAGTGCAGTGATTCCCAAACCTTTTACCTTTTGACCCACAAAATAACAGTAGCAGAGACCTGTGCCCCCAGCTATTTTTGGATGATAAACATTTGTATCAGGTCAACAAAACATGGGCATAGTAACAATATTTTTTATACTACAKTTATCCATTTTAAATATACTAACCTCACTCATTTATAACAACTAAGGCAAAAATGTAACTGATTCAGAAAATCTTTTCAGGACCCCACCTTGATGTTTCGGGACCCCAGTTTGGGTCCCGACCCCAACTTTGGGAAACACTGCTGTATATTATACTTAGTACAAAAAGAAAGGAAATTTGTAGATTATTTCTTTGTTGTAGCAATGCTTCTTCACAATAAATCTTATACCTTTGGAAAACCTGTTAATTTCCATTTTAAACTCTGCCACATTTGTAAGGAACATGCATTTTTGAGATGAGCAGTAAAGCTGAGTATTTTTATTTGACAGATATTTTTCATTCCACTCTCATCTTCCTATAGATATTATATTAACACTTAAAATATTATGTCATTATTATGGGAGGTCTATTTATTCATTATTTTAAGCAAAGTCAGTTTTTTAAGTTGAAGAAACCAGTTTTATATCTTCATTCAAAATAGTAAAACGCTCACACATTACCAATAAGCATGTGGAAAAATGCATACATATATATATTACACTGAGTAAGAAATATTTTAACAAATGCCTACTTGTTTGAACATTTCCCTACTTTATCAGTTTAAAGTGTTTTACGTGGAAACTGTGAAACGATCAGGGCGAGCAACGTATTGTTATTAAACGAATCAAAGGATGGAAAGAGTATCACTGCACAATCTCTATTCCTGTGTGAAATGAGCAAGGGTTCTTTCTTATCCCTCTTTTGTGCTTTTTATAGTTGTAGAAATATTCAGTTAGAATCTTTGAAGTTATTTCCTGTCACAAAAATAAACCCATTTCCTGAGAGAAATACAAACCCACACTTCACGTCTGTGCATGTGTGCACATGCGTGCGCCTCATAAAGCTGGCTGAAAACTGCGAGCAGGAGATCAGAAAGGTTAGAGGTTAGAGAGCTGCTGTCGTTTTGGGGTAGAAAAGTGAAAAAAAAAACTGTCTAAAGCTGCAGACATTTGAAGCGGTGAGAAGCAAGAATTGAATAAGAAGGCTGGAAAACTGCTGCACCTGTTTCTCTCAGTGTAGAAGACAAAAAGGCTCGCCTGGAGTTAAAAGACAAGAAAAAAAAAAGAGAAAAAGTAGTTGAAGGTGAGAGGCAGAGAGAAGCACTTTGAGAGCAGTTGGGGGTGGAAAAGGGGAGAAAAAAAGAAGCACATCTGGAGTAAAGCGGTGATGGAAAGCCTGCCTATCTACCACGGACCCATCGGTAAGGAGGAGGGCGAGCGGCGGCTGGCCCAAGACGGCAGAGACGGCTCCTACTTGGTCCGAGACAGCGACTCTGTGCCGGGCGTCTTCTGCCTCTGTGTGCTGTGAGTACAAACACTAACTACACTTCATAGTTAAAGCAGAATGTTTAATCCTGGCTGCTGGATTTTGAAAAAAAATATCTTGTTCACTTTACATTTATAAAAAGGAAAAAAAAGCTTAAAAAACATATAAATAACCCAACAGAGCTTTAAACAATTTAATATACTCGTGGTTTGTTATTAAAAGTGAAGTTTTGGTCCCGGTGCAGCAACAAAAGAAGCAGAGGCCAAATGCTTGGTTTAAACAACTGAAAGTTGTGTGTTTGTGTGTTTTCAGGTGCAAAGGATTCGTCTACACATACAGACTCCACAAGGACGAAGCTGGCTCATGGGCTGCAGAAGTGAGACCCCTATACTCTTCTTTCTTTTTCATTTCGTAATATTTTTTTAATCCATTTTTGTTTTTCCTCTCAGCTTTTCTTTTCACACCCCAATTGTGTACACGAGCAGCTGCGCATCTGTCTCGCTGTGGTTGCTGTTTATTGGTTTAGAAGTTGTTTTGGTGTCACAGTAATCCGACAAGCTGTGGATCTGAGGCAAACATGTTTCTCTCTTCTCTTCTTTTTTTTCTTTCTTTCTCTTTTTTTGTTGAGATGTGACAGCCCTGAGAAATGGGTACATTTCTTTTTCCTTCAGCAATAACACCCTGCGAGCAAGCCTCACCCCCCCCCACACCCCCCACCTCCCTCTACACACTTCAAAATTTAAAGATGCCACAGCATCAGTGYTGCGCTGCGCAGATGTAAAACGCAGAATTGCATTTGACAGGATTTCTGATGGGATATGTAATTGAGCGCTGAGGGTTGGCAAACACTCCGGGACGGGAATGTACAGAGACATCCGAAATCTCTGTCTCTCCGTGCATCTGTGTGTCTCTGTGCGTCTCTGTGTGTCTCTGTGCATCTCTGTGTGTCTCTGTGTGTCTCTGTGCGTCTGTGTGTCTCTGTGTCTGTGTGTGTCTATGTGTGAGACGACTGAGCGGGATGCTGATCCAAACGACGCCCTGACAGCACCACGCGCACCCACGGTGGACTTGAGTTACACGGATTTCACCACGAGCTCAATAACAATTTACATTATTCATGTGCAACAATCTATCACTTTAATGAGACGTGGTGGTGGGGGCACGGTCAGAGGGGTTAAGCTGGGGG